TCAGGGGACCGAGGGCTCTTCTTTGGATATTTCGGAGCATTTGCTTCGGGATGATCGGAAGGCTCCGTCCTCGGATTTCGAGCACGTTCCGGAATGGAAGGACCAGATCACCGTCAGAGGGCTGTTGGTGAGTGCAGTTCTGGGGAGTCTTTTCTGCATCATCACTCACAAGCTCAATCTGACTGTTGGGATCATTCCTTCGCTGAACGTTGCTGCCGGGTTGCTTGGATTCTTCTTTGTCAAGACCTGGACTAGCTTCATGTCCAGGTTGGGATTCTTCACCAAACCCTTTACCAGACAGGAGAACACCGTCATCCAGACTTGTGTTGTCGCTTGCTATGGCCTCGCTTTCAGCGGTAACTCACCCCTCCTTCGTTTAGCTTAAACTCGTGAGCTTTTGTGCTTTCTGGATTTTCCTGTTGCCCCGCGATCCGCTCATCTTTTCGCTCAATTGAACTCGTCTATTCCCAGCTTAGCTACTAGAGCAAAGAGTAGGCCCCTCACCCCTCTATCTTCCTGAGAATGTGACGCGACAGAAGAAACTAAGTCCTTAAGTCTTTGAGAGTGGGGAGTGGAGAGAGAAGTAGGATAAGATTGGATGCTTGACATCAGTACTATGATGTTTTGATGACAAGTGAACTATAAAATATTAAAATATAGTTGGAATAAGGATCAAGGGAATCTTCCTCCTTGGGTCAACAGACAGTGGAAAATATGACGCCTGCTACGTTTAGTCAAAAGACTGTAGGAAGATGAATTTCACATTCATGATAAGTGCTCCTGTCCATTTCCATATTAATTTTTGCTAGCTAAATCAATTTCACATTATTGCCATCATATACAACCTGATCTGACCAGGTCACTAAGGTCTCATTGTAGAATTTGGATTCGAGGTTAATTTACCAAACCCAAAAAAGCTCCAAAAACTCCCCCCAAAACCTGTCTCATTCAACATTAATTAAAAAAAAAACAAGATGTGAATTAACAATGGAGAATCAAATTAACGTAGCATCCATTTTACTTCCTCTCATCTCTTGATCTTTCACCTGCACATTTATAGCTACGTGTTTGTCAACGTGGAGATAAGTTTTCTGCCCAGTAGTTCATTTTTGATCATTGCCTCTTGTCATCTTTCATTGAAAACTTTTTAATACGGGCAGTCAATCAGTCGTAGTGTAACCAAATTTAATAAATGCATTAGAAATCATAACTGCGGGAAGTTTCTATCTATGTTGATGTTCTATTCCATTTTTCTTAGAAGGTAAACTCTTTTAGTTTGAAATTTCTTGATTATAAGATATGCTTTATAAATGGTGCCATGCTAATTTTATTTATCCATATATTTCTCTAATGTGATGATTATAACGTGTTTGGCAGGGGGTTTGGTTCATCATTGATTGCCATGGATGAGAGAACATACCAGCTTATTGGCCCAGATTATCCTGGTAATAGGGCTGAAGATGTTATAAATCCAGGCTTGCTTTGGATGATAGGTTTCACTTTTGTTGTCAGTTTCCTTGGGCTTTTCAGTCTTGTCCCACTTCGCAAGGTAAACCTATGGTGACTACTCATTAGTATTTGTATCGCAAATAAAAAGGGAAAGAAAGGAAGATGGAAAGTCAATGAGATTTGGTGTTCTAATGTTCTTATTTCAATAGAAAAATTGTATTAACGGTGTGAGAATGATAAATAAAAGCGTGAGAATGATTTTACTCTGTATATAGGCATGTAATTTGCTAATCTTGGGAGTCTATTGTAGACATAATTTCCTTTTAGCATTGCTATTGACGACGCTGATTGGCAATTTAGAGCCTGATCTCCATGCATTAAATCTCAGGTTATGGTCATGGACTATAAGCTTACATATCCCAGTGGGACAGCTACAGCAATGTTAATTAACAGCTTCCACACAAAGACTGGAGCCGAACTTGCAGGGTATGCATTAGAAATCATGTTAATTTCTGTCCACTGAGAAGCGTTGCTTATGTTACAATTATGATTTTAATACTGAATTGAAGATTATACGTCAAAGATGCACTTGTCACTTATTCTATCTGGTCATCATTTCTTGGTTTAATCATGGAATTGTAGAAACACCTTTTATGATGACTTAGTGTCATGAACATGTTATGTTTGCTGCTATTTTCTTTTGCTTTTGTAGTTCTAAGTGACATTATCATCTTTGACTGTAGGAACCAAGTCCAGCGACTGGGCAAGTACCTGAGCATAAGTTTCTGCTGGAGCTGCTTTAAGTGGTTCTTCAGTGGTATAGGAAATTCATGTGGATTTGACAACTTTCCAAGTTTTGGATTGACTCTATTTAAAAACACGTAAGGCTCTTACAACTTTGGCTTTCATTGGATTCCTATCGTAGTTTATTCCCTACCTAGTATAAAATGGGCTTTTCGATGCCTTTGATATACACTGTTCAATGAGTTGATGACTAGTGTTAGAACTACTGCCTTGGATGCGGGCCTAATGAATTGTGTTGCTACTCGCTACTGATGGAAGAGAGTGAGAGAAAATACAATTTGAGTGAAAGGCGCATATGTGACATGACGCCTGCATCAGTATTTACATTCACATTTTGATTGTATAGCACTGGTTATCCCATTTGCTTGGATGAACTTCATGCAAAAAGCTTGCTATAAATCATATGCTCTGGGATTGCTATAATTAAGGGGAATTCGACAAGCAATAAATTGTAACTTAATAAGATGAACACAATCTTAAATTGCAACTCGAAAAATATTTCCTGAAGTTGTCTAAGGAAAATGGGTAGGAGGAGTAACTTGCTTTGACTTGAAATGCTTCCTACACTCACAAATGCAAAAACAATTTAGTGTATGAATAAGAATAGCTTTTGATGAAACTAAGGGGAGAGATTCACTAAGTTATATATGACTTTGTGACAGAGCTTACCCTTTGATCAACATGTGTTTAATGCATGAAATCACTTTAATGCCTGAAAATTATCGCAAGATGTTCTGGCAGACTGGGGAAGCCACAAGTTTGATCTCAAATCTTGAGAAATGGCAATACTTAATTTAATTATTTAATAATCACAACGCTTGTTCTCATGCAGGTTCTACTTTGACTTTAGTCCAACTTATGTTGGATGTGGTCTTATCTGTCCTCACATAGTTAATTGTTCAGTTCTTCTTGGAGCTATCATATCATGGGGTTTTCTATGGCCCTTCGTCTCCAAACATGCTGGGGATTGGTATCCAGCTAACCTTGGTAGCAATGATTTTAAAGGTCTTTATGGATACAAGGTATGTGTATGGCAAAGCAGACAGGGTTGGTATGCAATTTAGAATGTCTTATGGTGAATCTGTGATTTATGTTCAATGACTAGTCGATTAGTTGTTGTATTTCTCCTGAATCCACAATAAAACATTTTCTTTATGCTCATGTTTTGCGCAGGTGTTCATATCCATTTCTCTTATTTTAGGGGATGGTGTTTACAATTTGGTCAAAATCATATTGATAACTGTAAGGGAGATGTGTAGGGCAAATTCCAAGCAGAACAACCTTCCTGTTGTATCAGAGGTTACGGGTGAGTTCCATGAATTCCCCTTTAGCATTACTTTCTTTAACCAGTGAGGTCCTTTCTTCATTGTAGTCCCATCCTAATTTTTACCGGCCTCGTCATTTAATCTTCAAGTCAATAAATACTGTCGTGCAAGTTTTTCAAGTATTTTTCCATTATATAAATGTCAATAATAATAACCTCAACTCTTCGTCCTTCATATGGCGGCCTGGCTGAGTGGACAAGTTGCCCTGTACCTTTTTCTATCTGCTTCAAGAGTTGAGTTTGCAAATTGTTGTTATAGATTGACATTGACCTTTAATAACTCTAGTATATTTTGACATTGACCTTTAATAACTCTAGTATATTTTAATCTCTGTTGATTAAAAAAAAAAAAGGGCAAATTTCACTGTAGGACCGCAGAAGACAATTAATTTCAAAGAGCCCCCAAAACTTTCTGAAATTTCACTGCAGGACCAAGGGGGCAAATTGATATTAATTCCACAAAGAAAATGACCCTATTGTCCCTCATGTGAACAAGTATGGGAGAACCCATTTGCAAGTGAGGTTAGATAATTTACAACATGCATATATTTATTTACAATTGGAATTAGTCCATTTACATGTCACTTCCTTCACCTGAAAAAGGTCTCCGTGAGTGAACAAGTATGGGAGCGCCCATTTACAAGTGGAATTAGTCAATTTGCAACATACATACATTTATTTACAATTAGAATTAGTCCATTTACATATCACCTTATTCACCTGAAAAAGGTGCCTGTGAGTGAATAAGTGTGAGAGAACCCATTTGCAAGTGGGACTAGTCAATTTGCAACATACATACCTTTATTTACAACTGAAATAGTCCATTTACATGTCACCCTGCAATAAGTATTATGAGGGGCAATAGCGTCATTTTCTTTGTGGAATTAATATCAGTTTGCCCCCTTGGTCCTGCAGTGAAATTTCAGAAAGTTTTGGGGGCTCTTTGAAATTAATTGTCTTCTGCGGTCCTACAGTGAAATTTTCCCAAAAAAAAAAGGGTGCACACTATGATCTTTTATGTGAAATAATTTGACATGTGAGTATTCTGGTATGATGTCCTCGTTGGATATTGAATTCATCAATGGATAACGGCTGTGAATTATATTTTCATTGCTTGTCTTGGTGCCCCTTGCCAGCATTTTTGTGTGTGATATTTGTAGGAGTTAATTTTCTTCTTCTGCGTGTTATCAGATGATGGATGTTCTGAACTGCAAGCGGAACAACGAAGAAGGGATGAGATATTTTTGAAGGATAGGATACCCTTCTGGTTTGCAGCATCCGGATATGTGTGTCTTGCTGCTATATCTGTTGCAACAATACCAATGATCTTTCCTCCTCTTAAATGGTACCTGGTTCTGTGCTCTTACATCCTGGCCCCTGCCCTAGCCTTTTGCAACTCTTACGGCACCGGGCTCACAGACTGGAGCTTGGCATCCACTTATGGGAAGATTGGTCTTTTCGTCATGGCCTCGTTGGTGGGCCCTAAGGGTGGGGTAATAGCCGGGGTAGCATCTTGTGCTGTGATGATGTCCATTGTCTCAACGGCAGCTGATCTCATGCAAGATTTTAAGACGGGTTATCTTACCCTCTCATCTGCAAAGTCTATGTTTGTGAGCCAGATAGTTGGAACAGCCTTGGGTTGCATTATTGCCCCTCTCACATTCTGGTTGTTCTGGAGCGCTTTTGATATTGGGTCACCTGATGGTCCCTACAAAGCACCTTATGCTGTTATATATAGGGAAATGGCCATACTAGGTGTCGAGGGATTTTCTGAGCTTCCAAAGCACTGTCTGGCCTTGTGTTGTGGCTTCTTTGTGGCAGCTCTAGTTATTAACCTGGCAAGGGATCTGATTCCCAAAAAGATCTCACAATATATACCTATCCCTATGGCCATGGCAGTTCCCTTCTACATTGGTGCCTACTTTGCAGTTGACATGTTCGTGGGGACGGTGATATTGTTTATATGGGAGCGTTTCAATAGAAAGGATGCAGAGGACTATGCAGGAGCGGTTGCTTCAGGTCTAATATGTGGTGATGGGATTTGGACAATTCCATCGGCTATACTCTCCATTTTGAGGATAAATCCACCCATCTGCATGTACTTTGGGCCCTCTACTAGCAGCTGATTTAACCAAGGCGACTGCCCTTGTGTTAGTTTCTTGCGCTTACAACTCCCATATTTATTTATTTGGACCGAGTTCTGTACATATATCTATTGTATGCGAAGAACGAGGCAATTATCTAGATGCATCTCGTTGCTGGGTTGAGATTGACTTTGTTTTGGCCAGAAAAACAAGAGGAAAAAGAAAAAAAAGGTTGAACTCTATTTGCATATGGGAGTGCACGCCGTTAGTAACATCAATGTGAATATTTAATGCTGTCTTATCCTTTCCCATTTTGTTCTTCATGGTCATTGTTGTGCGTATGAAATAGAATCAAATCCACTGTAACATGGCTGTGGCATTTTGAATTGTGGTTATTTTTCGAATTGGTACATTTTGATTTTCATGATTTTCTTTCATAAAAATATCAATTTAAATGCCTGTCCGTTGAGAAATTTTAGCTGTCAAAGATTTAAAAAAAAAAAAAATCATATTTTAAGAACTATCAGTTAAATAAAGTTAATTATTTAAGCAAGTTTTAATATTTTTGTTGTACTTATTTTTTTGGTGTGGAAACATAATCACTAGAGTTACAAAAAGCATGTTTTTCACTGATTCATCTATGTCAAACTTGATCAAATGGTTTTGCCCTATTGGGTTGGGCGTTAAGTCTAAAGTCTTCCTAATAAGTATGTTTTCAGAATTTGAACTTTGTTCCTTCTTTTAGGGGTGCAACCACTCACCAAATGCTTGTTGATGATGTCCCTGTTTTGTTATTCAATTATTGCCGGGACTATGCAGTTTTCTTTTGTAGCTTAAACACTTATCATTAATACGGAGAATTCTGGCACCTCATCCAAAAGTCGTGACTGTACTTCGGATGCCCTTATCCAAACCAAAGTACTACCTCCGGTCTTTAATATAAGACCCTGTTTGACTTTTATTTTGGTCTTAAATATAAGACCCCAATTCACTTTGTCTCTCATATTTACGTATTTTTTCCAAGATAGTCCTTCTAATAATTGTAATTTTAGCCAATATAGTTGATTAGTAAGGATATTTTAGCAAAGATAATACCTATTTATTATAAATAACTAACTAAATTTCTTTCCTTAATATCCTCAAATTAGTCAACTGGGTCTTATAATTAGAACCGGAGGTAGTATCAAAAAGGCCACGTTGTTCACATTCCCCAAACACCCCTATCTTGCATCGATGATATTTTGAATTGAGGGGTGAATTTTTTCCCAATACAAAGCCACGGTAAATTAGCGACCAAAAGATTCTTAAGAAAATGGTGAATTTTGAATGAAAGGTAAAAGCGGCAAGGCGTGGTCGGAGAGAGTGTTGAAAGGCTATGGTCCTCTGTGGCATATAAGCCTGTGCGACTGCAAGGGCCACGCCATGATTACCAAAAATGCTTCTTTGAAAAGACTTCATCACGACTCTCTATTTCGACGTCCTTAAGCGCAATCATGAATCACACAAGTGGCCTTCTTTGTCGGTCACCCGCAATTATTCAATTAATTTGCGTCTAAATCATCATAGTCAAAATGGCTTTTCATTTGGAGGTAGAACTAATCCCCAGTTGATTCTTTCTTCAACCATACTTCTCATAACTTCATTTCCAGCTTATACTGAAACCACTCGTACACATAGTAGCCAGAATGTGGAGTACTGTTATGATGTCCATCTTCTTTCTTTCCTCCATGAATCCACAATATTGTCTGTTCATGCCAGAGATTTGTCATTACCATCTTGTATCTTCGTTTTGAAGAAATAGTGGGAATTTTGCCCGTGGGCAAAAGTGGCTTTTGGGTTTTTGCCAGAAATAAAAACAGAGACTGCAAGAACAAGAGAACCAGAGAGCAAGTGGGCTGCAGCCAACGGCCGATTGAAAACTATAAATTTGAATTTTTTTTTTTTAAACCTAGGAAAATTGGATAATTGGTATTAGTATATTGAAGTGTAATTAATCCGCAAAAGTAGCTGGAGTTGAGCCCAATGGTGATGGGCCGTCGAATATGCAGATGTTAAACACAATGCCTTTTATTTGTCAGAAAGAATATTTAACCGTATGCCGAAAACCAACAAACAATATCTAACCACCATAACCGGCCACCAAAGCCCCTTCATTGCCACCGCCAGTGGCCCATTAAATCCTCCAAAAAGGATTTGAATTTATGACTCGTTCACTCATCGAACCAAAATTAATCATCAGGCTATCAAAGCCTATTATTAGCCATATTATGCAAAAAAAAAAAAACGGAAGAAGAAATTATGCAATAAATTTAATTTCCAAATAGCTTGCCTGTTATTATGTTATAAAGTGAAGTGAAAATTAACTCATCGTTTTATCACATTTTTTCTTGTTCACCTATCGGATTAGTTGTGAACTGATAGCTTGAAAATCCATAAATTTGATTTTTTTTGGTAAATTGATAATTGAATGCTATTAAAATAAGAAATTCACTTAAGTTCTTATGAATGTTCTAATCTCCTGATCTGCAACTGCTATCTGTCCCACACAAAAATATCATTTGTGCGATATTAATAACATATGACATGACAGAATAAGAAAATTATTGTGTTATTTAACATTATTTTATGAAAAGTAATTCCTAATAAAATTTTCATTAATACGCTTATTTTTATTGAAGTATTAATTATATAAAGAAACAGATTGAGGATGATTAGCATGTGGTTTGATTTAATTGGGAAAATTACACACAAGTTCTAAGAAGTATGATTTATTCATTTAAGGTTCTAAAAAATATCAAAATTAATAGCAGGTCCCAAGAGACCTTGGAGTATTATATTGTAATTGTAAAATGACATCACTATCTTTTCTAATCTAAGGTTCCCAATTTACAATTTTATCTGTCAATGTGATTGACAATCTCGACGGCGAGTATTAACAACCAAATAGGAAGTTATTGACAACTTGGGCAGTATCTGTTGACAACTTACTTTATGGGATAACATAAACTCCACATAGGAGCAAATTATAACCAAATAATATAATATAACAACCTTAAAGCTAAAATGGGAAGTTTTTTTGAAGGCATTAACAACTCTTACTAAACCTAATATGATGATAACAGAATTTCATTGTAGAGATGCATTGAAAACCTCAATGATAAGTATTAACTATCTAAAGGAAGCTGTTGACAACCTAGGCAGTGTCTATTGATAACTGACTTTATAGGATAATATAACCTCTATAGAAAATCAAATTATAACTAAATAGTATAACATAACAACTTTAACATGGAAATCATTTGTATAAAAACTTCAAAACAATATTGTACTTATATAATGTTTGCTGAAGGGCCACCACACTGGAAAAAATTTGTCCTTTACCAGTAACCAAATCTTTCTATTTTGTTGAATTCATTTAGAAAATTAGTGTTGGTATCATTTGTAAACCACATGACAATGATGGTGGGTTTTTACCCAATACATTGAGTGGAGATATAGACAATGAATTTAAACCTTTGAATAAGTATTTCATCCTGCATAATAAGACGAGTCATAAAGTTGTTAATAACAACTTTCGACCACTGAAATGAAATGACAATTTAAACAGAACAATTGATAACAAATAATATTACTTCAAAATTAAAATAAATAAATTCCGCTTACAAATGTTGTTCTTCTATTAGATCATCTCTTGTTGGTTGTGAATTTTCATCTACAATGTCTAAAAATATACATTGATCAAGGGTTATTGTAATTTAAAACTTTTTCCCCCTCAAGAAGAAGTTTGCTCCACCTCATAGGCTAATGTATATATCAAATGATCGAAAATAATATTATTATTCATTCACATTTAATTCTAATCGTGTGATACCTGCCCAATAAAAAAAGAAAAAAAGTTTAGTTAAATATTGTTATGAAAGTCAAACATGGCTAGATTGTATTATTCTATAAAGTCGGTTATCAGCAAACATTGCTTATGTTGTCAACAGCTTTCCCTTGAGTTGTTAATACCTGCCGTTAAGGTTGTCAATGGATATCTGCATTACAATTCTCCTATTGGGTTTAGTTAAAGTTATTAATGCTTTCAAAAAATTACAATTCTAATATTAAAATTGTTGTATTATATTATTTAGTTATGTGGTGTTATGTGGAGGTTGTGTTATCTTATAAAGTTAGTTGTTAACGTATATTGCCTAAGTTGTCAACAGCTTCCCCTTAGGTTGTTAATAATCGCTGTTGAAGTTGTCAGTAAAGGTATCGCTAAAGACTCAACGCTTTCTACTTAATGACTCAGTTAGGAGGGGGGAGAGATTTTAGGCCAACTCAATGACAATTCCATAGCATGATTAGGGTGAGGGAGACAGCAAGATGGCAACACATAGTTTGGGACAATGAGAGGTTCCCAGAGGCGTACTGGGGGAGACGGCGGATGGCGAACCGATTGTAAGAGGGAGAGACGACGCAATAGGGGAGTAATTGTATCACAAGAAGTGACTACGAAGGGAGAGATGACGCCAGGGAGTAATTGCGAACAGAGAGATGACGAATATGAGAGACGCTGCCAGGGGAGAGGGAGCAATTCGAACATAGGCTGGGGGGAAGAGAGAGAGTGTGTGTTTGAACTTTGAATTAGATACTGCCTCCGTTGTCAACAACTTCCCATTGGGTTGTTAATACTTGCCGTTGAGGCTGTATATCACATTGGCAGAGAAAACTGCGAATTGAAACCTTAAATTAGGAGGGATAGTGATGGTATTTTATAATTATAATATAATACTCTAAAGTCTCTTGAGACCTGCTATTAATTTTGACATTTCTTAAGGCTTTAGATGAATAAATTATACTCTTTAGGACTTATGTGTAATTTTCCAATTTAATTAATTAAAAATAATTTGCAGTCCCAAAACCTTTAGCAAGTCCGCCGCGGCCGGCGGAACACTCCTGGGCCACGTTTATTGCAAGTTATTAACATAAATGTGAAACATTCAGTAAGGTTTGTGAAATTTTAAAAATTAAGAAAATAATTTATATATGATATAAATTTTAGGGATTTTATATAATTTAATTTTTTTTTTTACCAAAACATAGGTATCTTTTTATTGGAAGTAACCTTATTCGAGGTACTGTCAGGTACTAATGTGAATATCAGCGGAAATTTGAATCTTAGTTTGCTACATTGTGAAGAATTAACTTCTTTTACCAGAGCCAAGAAATATTATTGTCATTATATCGGCTGGGAGCTGCATATACGAATTTGAAGCCTAAGTCCGAACGGCCCCTTGATCCATAATTTGGTGAGATTCCAAGTTTGTTTCCGAGGGCGACGCCCACAAAATATGCACGTCTACTTTCTGGCTCTGTTACTTCCGCACTCCAGAG